GGAAGCTGGTGTCCGAGTGGATCGAGGTCACGATAGCTCAAGTGGTAGAGCAGCGGCGTATCTAGCCGAAGATCGTGGGTTCGAATCCCGCTCGTACCATTGACTTTTTTATCTCAACTGAGAACCTTAATTAATTGTAAAATATACTTAAATTAAACACACTTCTTGTTCATTTTTCCCACAATTAATCTACGTAATTTATCCCCATACGAGACGTTTTTACGATATGCAATGCAAGTATGAGTTCCAAAATTTCAATCACTTTTTTGAGATTAGTCAAAAACTTCAAGTGCCAACAAAACGATTTTTATTTTTGTTTTATTTGGCGGACATTGTTTCTTTTAAATTTGTATTTATGGACCGAAATTTACCCGAGGTTGAATCACGCTTTATTGAGAGCGTCCTGTTGTCATTACATTTGGGAAAATTTCGCGAAGTTTGGAAACGGGTAAAAATTCATTTACTATCAATCAAAATTATAAATAAATAAATTGATTCTTGATAGAAGAACTTAGCAAATATTTCGCTTTTGAAATAATAGTCAGAAATAGGTTTTTAGGAATACCTTAAGAACAGTGGCTCCAAATTAAAAATGGTTTGCCCAGATGCATTCAGCGTGAAAAAAATGTATGTTGATGACTATCTTGCCATTTGAAATAATTAGGCTTCTATTGGTAACCTAATATCCTAGAAAGATAGATAAAAACTTTTTGGCTCAGATGAAAATGGGGATTCGGTGGCTGCAACGGTTTAGGCGTTGGTACTGTAAGGTAAAAATCCGTTTAGACATTGGCACAGTGCTTGTCAGTAAGGAAAAGGTCCCGTGTTCGAATCTAGCAGGCTGAATTCGAACCCGAGATACAAACTGACTTTTTTTTTTTCAAAACCACTGCTAAGGGTTGATATGACCTCAGTTGTTGTGAACCATCGTAAAAAAGCTTTACGTGGGTTTTTCGAAAAAATCCGTTGTATCTTGATTGTCTCTGGCCATTACAGTCTGTACTGCCCCTATTTTGCCTGTTTGAATTCATCATCACTTCACCATCTTCAGTCTGTCAGTTATTTTGTCAGTCCAGCCTTTTTTATATACTTGTAAAATATAAAAGGGTGAAAAAGGTACGCTGGATCTTGTTTCCGTTGGTGTTTTCTGAAGAATAATAAGAAATCTAATTGTGCCAAGTTCTACCCCACTGTACACTTCTTATCGTCCGACCGGATAAGAATAGAATTATTGACACAGTGGTGTGTTATGACTTATGAAGAAAGATTAAAAACAACTGAGCGATAGCTTCTATTCTTTATATATATATATTTAGAAATCGTGAGATGCGGTCTGGTGTGATGTAGGTTTTAGAAAAATATTTTCTTTATCGTGCCAACGTTTCAATCTTTATTGAGATCATCTTCAGGGCCTGAGATTTACAAACATTGTTTAAAATGAACAAAAACATGTAGGATGTGGTAAAAAGTGAATGTATACAATACAAAATATATTTTTTATATTCAATCAAAGTATTTCTACTCACTCAAAGTGTTTGTTTTCTGTGCAATTGTGCCATTCTTGTGTCGTGTCGAGAGTGCCAGTGAGATTTTGCTATTTTGTGTTTATATACGTTGGATTTTGAAGGGGTTTCTATATAATCCTGAAAGGATAATCTGGCCGAACCATTACCTACACTTTTTTCCCTTCGTCGGCTCTTTTCACCTCAAAGAAGCAGACGCCTTATTCAAAAATGTCTTTTCTACCGACATCCTTCCCCACCTCTTCATAATCCAACGTATATAAACACAAAATAGCAAAATCTCACTGGCATTGTCGACACGACACGCAAGAATGCACAATTACACAGAAGACAAGCACTTTGAGTGAGTAGAAATACTTTGATTGAATATATAAAAAATATATTTTGCATTGTATAAATTCACTTTTCCACATCCAAAATGTAATTGTTATATGTACACAATGTTTGTAAATCCCAGGCCCTGAAGATGATCTCAATAAAGATCGAAACGTTGGCACGATAAAGAAAATGTTTTTCTGAAATCTACATCACACCAGACCACATCTCACGATTTCTCAATAATCATATGTAAATTAATTAAATAATACTTTTTCTATCTTCAAGACAAAATATTTCATACAATTTACTAGTTCGAAACCTTCAGTCGTAAAACGCTAATTATTTTATGATTAAAATAACATTTTTACATCGCGTGACTCGTTTATGCAAAAAGCATAAAATTAAGTGTACAAAATATGATCGTTTTCATTCAGTTAATTTTTCCTCTTTTAGTATTTTGTTACTAAATGTCTGCAAAACATACTACATAAACATAATAAATATCGATTAACGGTCACTAATCACCATTTATATTTATATATATATATATATTTATTTATTTTTTAAATTTATATATGCTTTTTATTTCTACGAATAAGGTTAAACCTAATAGTAAATCTACTTCTAATAGAAAACAAACAGAGTGGAAAAGTCTTACTGGTAAAGGAAAAAAAATCGGATATAATAAAGTCATATAATATATAAAGGAAATTGAGTGAATGAATTGGAGGGGTCAGAAATTGAATTCCATAATTAGGTCTAATCTATATTTCCAGGCGTGGCGGACGTACTGCGTGAGCGCCCGTNTCGAGGTCACGATAGCTCAGGTGGTAGAGCAGCGGCGTATCTAGCCGAAGATCGTGGGTTCGAAACCCGCTCGTGCCATTAGCTGTTTTTCATCTCAACTAAAAACCTTAATTAATTGTAATGTATTAATTTGTCAAGCGGACCACGAAATTAGTGAATTTAAATTATAAACTTATGTGGCAGCTGTAATAACATCAACATTTTAACATGACAATCTTTGTACTCAATTGAGGAAAAAGAGAGAAAAAAATTAATATTCCAGTTTAATATTTTTACACTTGTTTTGATATAAAATTTTTATAAATACTTAAAATATTTTTTTAATTTTTTTGTAAACATACTTATTTTGTTACAATGTTGAATTTCAACTGGTAATTTTGAAAACACTTGCACTTTTAATTGCAAATGGATTATTAAATATTGTGGTTCTATGTTTTTTAATTTATAATTGCTTAGTTTTATATCTAGTGTTTATATTATGTACAACAGATCTATATTTTAGTTTTTTATATATGATGTAGGTTTTTCATTTTTAACACATTGAAGAAGATACATTATAATCAATTAAATCATTAATTTTTAAAAACGAGTTGAAAATGTTTATCATAAATTATATCATCATATTTTAAGTTAAGTATATATATCATACACATATTTACTTGTAATTTATTGATTTGCATACAATGTAAGTCACACATTGCATTCCGTATTCCATATTTAATATACGGGAATACTAGAGATTGTGCTAAACGGTTTTTGATAATAACATTCGCAAAACCTACTAATTTTTTAATCTATAAATTGTAGTGTACAGTGTAAAATGTAGTGTAGTGTCTTAGTTTCCAACCAATTCCAAATTTGTTCGTTCCAGTTTAAATTTTTATTCAAATAAAGATCTAAGCCTTTTACAGTTTCTTCATAATCCAGTTCAACGTTCTCTTTTTTTATCTTTCGGATGTTTTGTACATTTACTTTTTCCATTAATTTATTATGTCCAATTATTATTGTTTTACATTTTTTGAGATTAATTTTGTACGCATGCGTGGTAATTAGTGACCGTTAATCGATGATTATTCAGAAATCGTGAGATGCGGTCTGGTGTGACGTAGGTATCAGAAAAACATTTTCTTTATCTTGCCAACGTTTCGATCTTTATTGAGATCATCTTCAGGGCCTGGGATTTACAAACATTGTTTACATTTAACAATACATATAAGATGTGAAAAAAAGTGAATTTATTAATTTTTCCACATCCTATATGTATTTGTTAAATGTAAACAATGTTTGTAAATCCCAGGCCCTGAAGATGATCTCAATTAAGATCGAAACGTTGGCACGATAAAGAACAATTCTGAAACCTACATCTCACCAGACCACATCTCACGATTCCTGAATAATTTTTTACGCATGTTTATTACTCTAATCTATTAATTTACATAAATCGTGATTCATTATATCGTTTTATCATTAAGTTTATCAATTTTTGAGTCATTTATTACATTTAGATCGTCTGCATAAAGGCAAAGTTTACAGTTTTCAAATGCATTATTAATACAATTAATATAAATTGAAAAGATCAGTGAAGATAGAGTAGAGCCTTGTGGCACACCATGATCTGTTCGTAGATTCTCTGACATCTTATCTTCACCCGTTTTAATCTTTTGATATCCATTTGTTAAGTCTATTTTGAAGCTATTCTATTGAGTGAGAGGGAGAGAGAGAGAGAGAGAGAGAGAGAGAGAGAGAGAGAGAGAGTGTGTGATGTTGTTAGACGGATTCCTTTCTGACCGGTTAGAGTGAGATTAATAGAAACAGACTGAGTGGCGTAAGAAACAAAGATTGAGTGATAACAAGAGAGGGAGATTGAGCAGAGTTAGTGTAATAGAAAGAGATGGAGTGAAAAATAATACAAATATTGAGGGAAAGTAAGAGGCATAGATGGAGTGGAGTGAGAGAAAGCAAGGTTCATCGAGTGACAGATGGAGATACAGAGCGAGAGAAATATGGATAGTGAGAGAGAGGGAGACAAGAGAAAAAAATAATATAAGTTAGCTTTTAATAAGAACAATTTATACAATAGATGTACTGAGGCATTGATAATAAAACTGAATTATTTACAGATTTATTAAACAACGACCGCATTTAAAAATTAAATTTTCAAAATATGATGTTTCGATGACCTCACTACTAAACGATTCTTTTTTTCAGGAAAAAGCTAAAGGCAATTTGGTCTCCTAGTTTTGTCACTTGACCATGAAGATTTTACTTATCTTTTACATGAAACACACTTTTGATAATGGTTTTGATTATTTAGCGAACGGAAAACAATAACGATAGCGTAAATTGACTTACCTGGTGCGAAAATATTGGCGAAATACTTTTTAACACTCGACAGGCTAAGCTCGGAGGAACTCATCTGAAAAATTTGTCGACATTTAACCAGTGGAACTTTTCACGGGGGGCGCTCGTTAATTTTTTCTAACGACTTACACCGGCGCTGGCGACGAGAAACAGGCAAACCGGGCCCCAAAAGTTTGCCATTTTTTGATGAATGTGGGCACCGTGCGTTTTCGTCCTTTTTTTATAATTGTCGAGATAAGGCGAGCCAACACAATTTCGCCCCTTTATCTCGGCCTTTATACTCCCGTTTTCTCCGCTCTCCTGGGTTATTAAGACCAGGTAATAAAGCTTTTTGTCTTTAATACCCCACGGTATTATTACGCTATCTATAATGACAGTGAGTCATCCTTGTTTATCCCTGAAGAAATTCTTTAAAAATCATGAGATATTAAAGATAGGTTTGAGCTACAAAGCTTTAGTGTATACATCACAATTTTTCAATTCACTCTTTCAAAAAGAAACTGTATAGAAACCTCATTACCTTTTTTCTTCGAACAAACAAAAACTGCAAGCGGAAATGTTGTTAACATCACACAATTACAAAAAGACTCCATTCTGTCGATGGTTGGCTGAGTTCATTTATTTACTGACCATCTCGAAAATTATTATTAAGTATATACATACGTATAACGGTAATGATAAATCCGAGAGATGTGTGGATAAACATATAGACAAACAGATCGAAATAGATCGACCGACAAAGCAAACAGAGAGAATGAATGATTGGGTGTGCGTGTGTGTGTGTGTGTGTGTGAGAGAGAGATGATGATGACGATGAACGTTTTATTTATCAATCACACAAGATTTGGTCTCAAGGACCATTCTTACATCCAATGTGAAGTACAATTGTTTCTATGTTTAACTTACTTCTAATTTATTATACATTAATTACATCGAATAACTTTATTTTTGTGGTCAATATGTTACATCTATTAGTTTTAAATTGAACTTTTACTTAAATTTGCTCATGGAAATAGATATCCTAATTTACATAATAATTGAGCAGTTAAAAAGCAAATTATCAATTAAATAAAATAAGTGAACAAAATAATTTTCAATACAATGCAGTAAAAATAATGCAAAATATATTTTTTATATATTCAATCAATGTATTTCTACTCACTCAAAGTGTTTGTCTTCTGTGTAATTGTGCCATTCTTGCGTGTCGTGTCGAGATATATTTTGCATTGTATAAATTCACTTTTCCACATCCAAAATGTAATTTTAATATGAAAACAATAGTAATTCAGATATCGTGAGATGCGGTCGGGTGTGATGTAGGTTTCAGAAAAACATTTTCTTTATCGTGCCAACGTTTCGATCTTTTATTGAGGTCATCTTCAGGGCCTGGGATTTACAAACATTGTTTACATATGTGTAGAGATTAGTGACCGTTAATCGATAGTAATTCAGATATCGTGAGATGCGGTCGGGTGTGATGTAGGTTTCAGAAAAACATTTTCTTTATCGTGCCAACGTTTCGATCTTTTATTGAGCCCTGAAGATGATCTCAATAAAAGATCGAAACGTTGGCACGATAAAGAAATTGTTTTTCTGAAACCTACATCACACCCGACCGCATCTCACGATATCTGAATTACTATCGATTAACGGTCACTAATCTCTACACATATGTAAACAATGTTTGTAAATCCCAGGCCCTGAAGATGACCTCAATAAAGATCGAAACATTGGCACGATAAAGAAAATGTTTTTCTGAAACCTATCACACCAGACCGCATCTCACGATTTCTGAATAATTATCGAATAACGGTCACTAATCGCCACACATTTTCCTATAATAAATAGTCAAATATTAAACATTTTTATAATACTTTGTTTTTCATAGTCGCATTTTTTCTAAAACAAACTTTTTTCAAAAAGCATAAAATTATGTATACAAAATATGACCGTTTGAATTCAGCTAATTTTTCCTGTTTGGTATTTTGTTACTAAATACCTGCAAAACATACTACATAAAACATATAAGACTGTATTAACTACTATACATAATTGTTCACTCCATATATATTAATTATTTATAAAAAATAAATTCTACTTTTGTTTTGAGAAGATTAATGGAGACTTTTCTAAATGACATATTTGAATTTAGTATTATCAGTTATGGTTATTTCAAGGGCTGTTGTATTTTTCATTATTTTTAAATTTAGGAGCTGCTATCGGAAGGGAGAATGCAATGTAAAATATCCCAATCGATTTTCCTTAATTAGGGGCAAACATGACGACCTTTTTCTAATAATATATAGTTAAATATTAAACGTTTTTATAATATTTTATTTTTCATACTCGCATTTTTATTCTAAAACAAAATTACTCAATTAAAGCACTCAATTAAATACCAAATCTGTGCAATGTTGTCGGTTTACAGTAATAACGTCTAAATGAGCTTTTCGATGTTATGTGCATATTTTTCAAATAAGGTAAATCGTATTTAGAAGATAATATGGTTCTTTGCCGGTGGAAATTTAATATTTGTACATAAAGCCCGTAAATTTGAAATTCACATAATATTATACAATAATGCGATAGGGCACCGGACTTTTTGTAGCAAATTATATTTCTGGCCTCTTTTTAGTTCAAACAATTGGTACAATATATGTAAAAATATGTAATGATCGAAAGTGCGTGTGACTTCATCGATAACACGGGAGATCATATCAACAATCAATTAGCTTCAGTTGGCAATACTGGAATAGAACAATCGACTATATAACGGATATACATATCTCGTTATTCGATAAAGCTAAAACTTGGAGAGGAAAAGATTCCAATACTACCGCTGAAATGATGCTTCTTCCCAGAAAGATTTCTATTACTGACTCTATGATCACTAGTGGACGACATAAGCATAGGTTTTTGACAAAGATCTGCAGATGACATAGTCATAATAATCAGAGGCAAAAGCTAATGATCGACAAACTCTCTTTGTTTCTTTTTTCCTTTCTTTCTCTGCCTCTCTTTCTCTCTCTCTCTCTCTCTCTCTCTCTATCTCTCACTCTTACAATGTCATCTAAACAAGATGATGAAGATGATAGAGATAGATGCTTAGAATGAGGGGTTTGCACTCCCCGGGCACTAATGCCTTCTGACTTGTTGGACCTTCCTAGTTTTTCAGAAGTATTATTTCATCGATTGTCGCTTCTACAATTTCATTTTTTTTAATATCCTCGGCTATGTCTCCTCCATTGAGTCAATCTAAACAAGAAGTAAAGTGGGGTATCCCACAAGGGTAGCCCCTGTCATGATATTGTTTAACCCCACTCAAATAGACTACACGACATTTGAAAAATGGCAAAAAGGAGGGAAAATTCAAAAGGTGGGGTTGAGAAGGGAAGTTAGTGTCCGAGTGGATCGAGGTCACGATCGCTCAAGTGGTAGAGCAGCGGCGTATCTAGCCGAAGATCGTGGGTTCGAATCCCGCTCGTGCCATTGTCTTTTTTATCTCAACTAAAAACCTTAATTATTTGAGGGATATTGTTTAACCCTGTTTTAACATATGTAAATGTTTTAATGAATACAAAGTTATATTATACGTCGATTATCTTCAAATATATGTCATTTTAAGATGGACGAAATAATTAAGAAGAAAGAAGAATAAGAAATTAAATTAATGTAAAATCGTCCAAGGAATTTATTATTAGAATTTATTAAACATAAAAAAACTAATGCAATAATTTGGAATTTTAAAGGATAAAGTAATATAAAAAATTCAAGTGAATGATGAGCCCATAAAGTACGTGAGAGAAGTCAAAGACCTAAATATCGCCATCGACGAAACGATTAATTGGAAAAGGCAAACGTCAAATGTATGTCGATGTGTTTATCGTAGCCTTCATCAGTTGCGGACATTAATGATAAAAAAATGATACAATCGCTATTTATGCTATTGTTTGAGTAATGCTTATTGCCTTGTATCGACACAAATAGCGAAAATATCAATAAGCTAAAATTTTTTTTGTTTGATGGGTATTTCAACTACGAGGTTATATGAACTCCCAGGGTGCCGATGTTTTTAAAAAAAAGCCCATTTGTAAGTATGTCGGGTTCGAATGCAGGGCCGCTGGATTCGAACCCGGGACCTTTACCTTACAGTGAACCATTGATGAAGACGAAGTGGTGCAACCTTCCATAGTAGTGCCACCACTATACCACAACCTCCTTGGCTTCTCCGAAGTGAAAATGTTGCGGGGATATATTTCAAATTTGGAACTTAAAAATGGTACAACTTAAAAAAAAATCAAATCACCGGAACTTTAAGAAGAAGCTTTACCGAAAAACAATAAAGTAGACATTGATTTTTCAAAGATTTATTTACAAAATCCAATTTATCCTAATAAACACAAGTGATTAGATTAAGATTTTATCTGTGATTTATTTACCTTTAATCCTTTAAAACGGACCAAATGTTGTACAAACATACATGGTACCAAATATACATTTAATAAAACAATATGAAAAATAAAATACAGTTATACCGTGTGTAGTTGTAGATGTTTTTAAATTTTTTACAGTGGCTATATCACGATTCTCTTTATTAACTTATATTTGGTAATTATTGATCGTTAAAATAAATAACCAAAAATATTGAATTCATAATAAATATGAGCATGTTTTATATTTAGAATGGTTATTGTATCTACGTACGTATTTCAAAGTTTTAAAACTAATATTATTTTCACTAATTTCGTGGTCCGCTTGACCAATTAATACATTACAATTAATTAAGGTTTTTAGTTGAGATGAAAAAAAGTTAATGGCACAAGCGGGATTCGAACCCACGATCTTCGGCTAGATACGCCGCTGCTGTACCACTTGAGCTATCGTGACATCAACTTCCTATCTCAACCCCAAAACTCATAAGGTGGGGTTGAGATAGGAAGTTGGTGTCCGAGTGGATCGAGGTCACGATAGCTCAAGTGGTAGAGCNTGGGATTTACAAACAATGTTTACATTTAACAAATACATTTAGGATTTGGAAAAGTGAATTTATACAATGATTTATATTATACAATTTATACAATTTCATTGTATAAATTCACCCCCCCTCTCTCTCTCACTCACACACACACACACACACACACACACACACACACACACACACACTCTCTCTCTCTTTCTCTCTCACTTTTTCTATAATTTTCCTCTCTCTCTCTCTCTCTCTCACTTTTTCTATCATTTTTCTCTCTCACACGTTTTCTACAATTTTCCCCTCTCTCTCGCTCTCTCTCTCTCTCACTTTTTCTATAATTTTCCTCTCTCTCA